TTTTTTTTTTTTTTTTTTTGTATCATTTTCAAAACTTTTTAAAACCACTACCTAAAATAAAAATTGACAAGACTTTCGAGGAACGGGTACCAGGCGTGTGTAGGGGAGGGGTAGTGGGACATTGGTTTGCCAGGTTTTCTCGAACGAAAAACCCTCTAAAATTGACGTTTCGAAAAAGAAACCAAAAATTGCTTATTGTTAATTCATGTCTGGGCCAAAAGTTTCTGTCCGTTTCATGTAGCAAATACGAAACCTGATTAAGATACGAGATAGTTTTCATCCGTACTGAGATGCGAAAATAAAGATTTGTCCCATCTCTAATTTTAAAAGACAAATTTTTTTCCATAACACCTTGACGTCAATCGAACCGACAATATTTAGACTGGTGTGAAGTGACTGTCAGTCTCCAATTCCAGTTTCTTTCGCTTGCGATAACTTTGACGTAGATCGATCACAAACTTGTATGGCCGACCGTCTTAACAGGAAATTTCGGAGTATGTCGTCATGAAATGTTGTTTCTATGGCTGCCCTATTTTTTTTTCAAATATAGCTCTTTTGAAGAAAAACTGATAATGAAAAACGTAGAAACCGCTTTTACCTGCATAAAAGGCGGCAACCAAAAGTACTTCAAAGGAGTTTCTGAGGACAATTTACATAAGCTAGTCTCTAAGGAAACGGTGTTTATTTTTCTCGTTCACAGACAGGTCTGTCAGAACTGTCTCAGTTTTTGTCTTTTATGCAATTTCTGTCGCAGTTTCTTGGGTTATTAGTAACAAACATGAAATCTTGATTTCATCTCAGAAAGGCAAACGAAGGGGAAATACGCAGACACGCTCTAACCAATTTTACATGGCTAATTCAACGTTTTGTTTGACTTGTCTTTGCACGTAGAGAGCAGTCGAATAATTTTCCTCGCGAGCATTTTTGAGCAGGATTAGTTCCAACAGGAAGTCTTTCGTTCGAGATCGCGTTTGTGATCTTATATAAACGATTCACCATACCTCAGAACGCGAACCGCAAGAACCACCAACTTAGTCCTCACATAGAATGAATTGTTGTTTAATTCATTAAAATGGAATATAAGTCTCCGCTTTAAGTATCCGCTTTGTTGGAGTGTTTCGCTTCAAGCATAAGATACGACGATACTGCCATTTAAGGCGAGCGCGATGTGCTAACTGTTATTGAACATAAAACTTCAATCAAAATTCTACGACAAAATTTGGGTAGTAAAACGTTACTACTGGGTGGTAATTTCATGCCGAGCAGATAATCACGACAAAAACAACAAATCGTGCCTCGTCGACGGCGTGAATTGACAGATGTAGCAAACTTAAATCTAGTATTCTAGGAGACGAAACGATTACGGCAAAACAGACGTCAAAAAGACGTTTGCAAAGCTACCTAGAGAAACTGAACGTCTCAAGTTTTCGTAGACACAAATACACCGAGGTTTCTGTGGACTTAGAAAGGATCCTTCTCTTATTTAAAGAAGTCTGTGAAAAAAAATCATAGAGGAAACAAACCTTAACAATATCTTGGTTTCTGAGACAAATCCTCGTGATTGCAAGGCGGTTTTCCGATCTTTTCACTCAGAGAACATCGATACGTAACGATGACCTTGTTGTTTCTTTAAGTACAAGATCATAAATATGCAAATTTTCATCAAGCAGCGACTGTCCTGTAGTGACACTTGCCATATTTAGTTGCAGGAAGTTGTCACGAACAGGAATATTTCAGTCACAGGAAGTCTGCATGATGAGGAAGAGTATTCCAAAAGAGGAAAACTTGGAGTGAGTACCATACGTTTTAAACAAGGATTTTTTAGCTGTTCAAGCTAAATGTTCAAGGTTCGATATCCAAGGGGAAGGAAAATTCAAGTTAAAGCAGGTCACGATGTCTGTCAGACTTGGGCGTATTTCTCGCGTGTCAAGTCACAAAAATCGCAGCGATCAACATTAGAAAGAAAACAATAAATATATCATAAACAAGCCACGCTATTTTTGAAAATTTTATGCAATAGAACACATCAAAAGACAAGCAGACAAATATATCTATTTTCTTTCGTCGTAGACCAGCTAAATCTACATACGGTATTTCCATTCTTTGAATATCTGTCTCAAGATTTGAACCTATGCAATGGATAATCTATTTAACAAATGGACGAACCGCCGAGTAAAAATAAGTATACAGAAATGATGACGTTACCATCGCGAAATTGAATCTTTTCTGACCCAGATAACAGAGTAGGAGAGTAGGTAAGATTGCAGCCGAGACTGTGGTTTTCGCTTTAAGGAACGTCGGATTAATGATGATTTGATATCACCTCGCGAGAAAAAGAACAGTTGATTATTACGTCTTCATGAAAATATTTTTTATCAATCCGTTCTTGGGCGTATAGGCTAATATCCACTCGGAAGGCTTATTTGGGAATTGATAAAACTCCACCAGAAACAGAAAGGAAAGGTTGTCATGTTGTGACGCGCGCGAAATATTACTCTCTAATTTCACAAAATTGGATGTTTTTGATTAAGAGTGAGTACAGTTGGGCTGGAAAGAGGCCAACTATTCATATTTCTTTATCTCGTTTTCATGGATCAACGCCAACTCGATGCTAACAGGTATGTAAAAGAAGGTGAACTTTTCATTCAGCCTTCATAGCCGATCCGTAGGTGGTAGCTTTTTCGATCCAATAGAATTCCGCTTTGTTTTAAAATAAAGCAATAAGCCCTTCCCTAATTTTCTTTGTTTTTCCCTGTCTTCGAGAAAATTATGACAAAGTTGGCCGGAAGACCAGTACCACCCACAAGGGTCTGTGTTTTTTGTTTGAACGAAAGTATAAAGTGCACGAAGTTTGGGCCACTGAGGGAACTTTTAAAATCTGTTCACAGATCCACTACCTTCTCTGAAATTATCCAGATCAACCAGAGCTTGAAAAGTGAGTGACAGCAAAATAAGAGTCTCCGGTGCGAATGCCAGGATTGGTCATTTCCTTAAACAAAATCCCAACAAGTGGAAAAATCCTCCTTCTGTGCGTGTCTCAAATCAATCGGTTGAATGTTTACGAGCGAAGCAACTTCACTTGCTTCATAACAAATGAAAACTTCTCTTCACTAACCACAATCTCAAATGCGAGTTTTAATTTCTGACGTCTGCAAGCAAATAAATTGATGACCACGACAAGTCAAGAGAGGACGCCATGTTACTTGCTCCGGTCTTTATGTCCAGAGAGAATACCGAAAAAACTAGTGTTTTGGTTACGGGGATACACCAAAACACGGCGATACTCTAAACCGGGCGCTACCCAAAATACTTTGTCATAGCCATATTTAAAAAAATCTCGCCTGCGAGAGGTTGACGCCGAGTATACACCAGGCTCCTCGCGTACGCCTCGGCACTCAATACTCGGTGGGCCATTTAATATCCATAAGCCATTCAAATGAGCCAGTCAGTTTGGCAAACCATTCAATTTGATAAGCCATTCAATAGTGAGCCATTCAATTTGGTACTGCTTATTTTGACACAATACACCCTCCATAGTGGGCCATCTAGCGAAGCTTCACCACTAACAAGGCGCGATAGGTAGACGAATGAAAGAGAGGATTCGGATGAAGCTTTTCGAGTCTCTCTCTCCCAACCCTTCCTTCTTTAAAAATTATCTGAGCTTTCAAGAGAGGATTTATTTTTATTTTTGGCCTTGTTTTTCGCTGATTGCCCATTCTCATGGGCTGAGGAAAAGGTAGGATCAAAGGCAAAAACTTACACGATTCGTGAGTTAATCGCACTGCTGAGAGCCAATTAGACTGAAATGATCACCACTGATTTCAAAATAAATTAGTTGTTTTGCGAGTCGCTTGATTACGTAATATCTCAACAACAGCAAAACATTGATACAAATGTACTGCTTCCTCATTTACTCTGGTTCAATTTTAAATATTAATAGTTCTTGCTGTTGTTGATAATCTGAACTTCTTGTGATTCAGGAGGACTGCTCCAAGGAATTCGTGGTACATCGTTATTTAAATATTTTTCCGTTCAGACACCGCTTTTGACATTACTGATAATTCCCGTATGTAACATATGAACCTATCTCAACAATAAGCTCTCTATAGCTCAGTTGTAGGGCATAGGAGTGCAGAATTCAAAGGTCTGGGGTTGGATTTCTTATGAAGAACTCCGATTTTTTCCTCTGTCCAACACTTAGCTTGTAATTCAACGAATAACACCTTCCTTGCAAATTTTACATAGCGACATTTATTGAAACAAACCTTAATAACGTGTCCCGAGTTCACTTTATATAACAAACTTCAGCTGGACAAATGGAAAAAGTGAACTCAGAATACTTCATCGGCAGCCTACTTCACTCGTATAAAGAAATTATAACCTGAACATTTAAAATTTTTTTTCCAGATGCATTAACTAAAAAGCCTCGCCATGTTTTTTTCGTAGCCATCACTGACTACGATAACGCAATAACAATAATAATAATAATAATAATAATAATAATAATATTAATAATAATAACACTCTATTTACAAACTGAGTAATTGCTACTTAATAATTCATCAAGAAATATTTCAGTTTTCAATGCTAAAACTTCAATTTTTTTGTAAAGAATTTTTTTAACCATAAAAAACATGGCGAAATAATACGGCAAACAAATGGAGCAAATATACAGATCAACATCACGGATACAAAAAGCCCCTACTTATCAAGTCCTGAGTCACCTTCAGATTATGACGATGTTTTTCCAAATACGC